GACCCCTCAGGCCCCCAAGCCAGTACCCCACAGACACCCATGAAGGACCTCAAAACACCCCAGGCCCCCAAGAAGACCCAACAGACCCCCATGAAGGACCTCAAAACACCCCAGGCCCCCAAGAAGACCCAACAGACCCCCATGAAGGCCCTCAAAACACCCCAGGCCCCCAAGAATGAAGGCCCTCAAAACACCTCAGGCCCCCAAGATGACCCCTCAGGACCTCATGAAGAGCCTCAAGACCCCTTTCCTGCACCACAACTTATGAAAGATTGGAAGGAAGACGCCGTACCAGAGGCTTTACCGTGGGAGGAGAAGTATTCTGCTTGTCATGTTCTGACTGTTGGACGCAAAATTTTATTCCCAGGGACTACTCATTACTAATTTTAATCTTCATGTCTTCCTCTCCTTCTCCATATTTTGTCTCAGATTAAATTTCTTGCTTATGTTCCCCTCCTTTTACTTGTGTCCTCTCCTTTAACTCTCCTTCTGTTTCTTTCAATTTATTGCTTCTGTTTCATTGATGTGGGTTTTAACTCCTAAGTAGTGCAAGTGAAATTCATGTTTTGCTTGATTCTTCAATCAATTGAATATTATTAGCAGTGATTTCTACTTTTGATGATATTTGGTCATTTAACCAACCAATAAGAAGGAAGCTTTTGCCTCCCATATGCTCAAGAGGGCATAAATTTCTCTCTGTTTTTACTGATATTTCCTTTTTGCCAATTTTTCCTCCTCTCATTGGAGGATGATTCCCTGAATTCTTGTATCTCATAATTACATTTGATTTTCTAATTTATGTTGTTATTTTTTATCATTTAAACTACAATACTATTGTATTTTATTTTCTTGTGTTCCATATTTTATTTAATTTATTGTTTTGTTTTATTTTATTTTATTGTTTTGTTTTATTTTATTTTGTTCTGTTTTACTACATTTTGCTGTTTTATTTTTACTTTTATTCAAGGGGCCCCTCATTCAATGGGGTTGAATTTTTAAATGTCTTGATGGATTTATTTTTATTTTATTTTATTTTATAGTTTTTTTACTATTTTTGATGGTTTTCTATTTATTATGTTTTTGTCGTTCCGACTCCCATTTATTGGAGGAACGACTCCCAAATCCCCCCGGGGGATTTCTTTTTTTTTTAATTTTTTTATTATTTTTTTTGGAGTTCCGACTCCCAAAATAGTCGGACCCTTTGGAGGTCCGACTCCCAAATTTTTGGGGAAAAAAAAATATAGGGGGATCGACGTCGAGAGGACCGTCCGCAGCCAGTCCTCTCGACGTCCCAAATATTTGGGAGTTGGAACTCCAATATTTGGGAGTCGTTTAACTAAGACCCATTTTCAAAATATAAGATACTGGGTGCTAAAAAAATGCCAGCATCCAAAAGATAAGTCAAAAGGTCTTTCAGAAAGAATTCATACATCTAGTTCAAGGACTTTCAAATCATTGTACTAACAATGGCAAGCTGCTTATTGGTTGACATTGGTTAGTGTGCATTGAATTAAGGAACCACCATTTTACCTGGTGAATGTTGAAACTGACCGATCTATGGCAAATGTCTGTGTGGATGGTGTGCTATATAGCAACTGCAGTCAGCCACTCACTTGTATGATGCAGGGAGCATTGCGTTGCTTGATGGCTCATGGGTTTTTTGACCCTGAGCAAGCCTCCAGAGTCTCACTGACCTACTTATACCCATCTGTGAGGCTCGACCTACTACACCGTACGCTAGTGGCTATGAAGTTTTACCAAGAGGAAAACTCGCCTATGCTTGGTGATAGTAGATAGAATTTAATAGTCTTGATGCAATCACTATGATACTACTGAATAGAATAAGCTTTTATAAAGGTATTAATTTCCTTGATAAAGTTTTGAGTAATTAATGGTAAATGATAAACAAAGAATTTATGGATGGCTCATGAGGAAAGAGAGAGAACAAAGGAAGAACAAAGCAAGAGAGATTATAGATATAGTAAAGAGAAAACAAAGATCAGAACAAACTTCAGCATAGAGATGAAGAAATGGATGGTCACCCAACTTTCCTCTTGATGTGAATTGCTCCACAAAATATTTGGGCTGATATGGTCCTGGTATGTGAGATCAATAAGACCATACACACCAAGAAATTGATACGAATCCCATCAGCTACATGTAATCATTCAAGAGGTTACTTTCTGGTAGGCCTTCCAAGACATCAATATCTGTTTCACAAGACCATCAGATGGACTGTGACACCATGGCCATCAAGAAATCTTACATCAAAAGAAAAATGAAAAATGAGAAATGTGTGTGTTGGTTACTAATCGTACTATACAAGTTTACAGGCAGGTCTTTGTGTTTTGTTTTTCTATGATCTTTCTCGCACTAATGACATGTTATAAGATAAGCACACAAAAACAGAAGAAGATGAGAAAAAAAAAAAGAAAAAAAAAAAAGATCAAGAAGAAGATTTTTGTTTTAACAAAACAAGTGGATGTTTTTTTGTTTTTTTTGGTTGTACACATATTGATAACCCATATGTGCAAACATCAAATAAATAAACAAACAAATGAACGAACACGGTGAGAAGAAGAAAGAACTCTCTATGATCTGCAAGGAACAGCCGGAAACGAAACCAAACTGAAGGCCGGATCTGAAGATAAATAAAACAGCGTTTCAAAAAGCGTAACTAAGAGGGGAAACAAAAAAATAGAACGAAAAGAAGACTAAGAATAGTCGGTCAAATTACTACAACTATGACTATTGATAGTTCGATGCTGATGAGAATGCAGAGGCTCATGAGGGGCAGAAGAGAGCGAGCGATCGTGGCTCGACGGGGGCCGATAATCGAGATGGTCGTCGAGTTGATGGTCGGAAGGGGACGACAAAGACTGGAAGGACTTGGAGTGACTGAATCGAAACTTAGGACGTTCGAGGGGGAAGAGATGATCAGCATGGATGACTGAGCCGTCTTGCGAGAGTTGATGATGAGTTGCCGGGGTGGTCCACTCGTCGTTGAACCGTTTGGTGCCGCTGCTCGAGCCGGTCCTACTGATGGGCACGGTGTTGAAGAGGCCTTCATCGACCGAGGTGCGCGAGGAGGTCGTCGATTGGTAGCCCGTCCCGCCCGCCGGTGCCGATAAGGAGGTCGTGATCGAGACCGGCGGGATGAGCATCCTCTGGTCCTCATCATCTGCCCCCTCACTGTACCCACCACTGATCGAAAATTTCGGCTGGTTGGGCGAGCCAAGCCGGGACGGTCGACCCGCCCGAGGCGAGCTCGGATGACTCGCTGAAAGACTCCTGTGGACGGGCGTGTTACTGCTCCGGTTGGTCCAGACCCCCAAGGCCCGGGAGACGGTTTGCTGGATCAGACCCGAGGGTCCAGTGCCGGCCGAATGAAAGAAACTCCGAGGAGAACTGAGGCTCGGTTTCCTCAGCACTCTGGGCGTGCTTGGGCGGGTGTGATTAGAGTCTCTCCTTCCCCCATCGCCCTCCTCCATCGAGGCCAATACGTAACCCTGCCCGCCTAGACGTCGCTCCTTTTGGAATTGACAGAGCGTCTTCGAACATGAGTATAGGAACCAGATCACCAACGCTCCGAGGGTCATTCCGAGGATGGCCATCGGCTCGATCCACGACTTGGCATGACTCAGTTGCGCTTTCAGTCCCCCTCCGAGTTGAGAGGTGTGGATTCCAGGTAGACGACCAATTGAGCTCGTGCTTTGTGGGCTAGAGGACAGCTGTTGAGAGATTTCCAAGACCATCTTGCCTAGCGTCCAACTGACAGTGATATTGCCTACTTCATTGAGGCTTTGGAAGTTTGGAGGGGGTGGATTGAGTAGACCCTTTTGAGCGGCTTTTTGGATGCCTTCTTGGTTGTAATCCATCCGATCACCCTGGCCACCCTTATCGATGATCCGAGGGATCCCGATCCCTTCGTGTAGGATGTTGATGATCCAGGCAGCTTTAAAACATTGGGTTTCTAAGCGGGAGATTTCGACATTCGAAGGCCATTTGGTCCCCGACTTGTGGCTCTCGATAATCTCTTCCCAGTTCAGTTGGCAGTAACTGATCGCCTTCTTCTCGAATTCCACAAAATCATAGATCCCACCCATCGACCAAAGGTCTTGAGTGGAATACCAATACTCGGATATCCCAATAAATCGGTTCACAGAGAAATCGATCGGGGGCACATGTTTGCCATCGAATAAACAGGGCTCGTCCAGACAGGGTGCGTTTTTGTTCAACAGAGGGGAGACGTTTTGTATGCATTTTTTGAAGTCGCCGGTCCCATTGAACTGATAACTTGAAGATGGAGAAGGTAAGAGGAGCGAAGCAGGTAAACACGGGTCGGGGATGATACCCAGTTGATCGAGTTGATTCGGTTTCCGAATTTGATGATCTGAGGAGAATTGCTCGAGCAGTTTTTGTGCGTATCTCTCGCGTGCCTTGTTAGTGCCGTATCCCAGCCAGGTGGTGACGAAGACGGAATGAGAGATATCAGTGCCATCTAAGAGTTTCAGGGTAAGCTTGGTGAGGTTATCGGCATGTTCGATTTTGGCAAGCTCGTTGGGTTCGAAGGCGATCTGAGTACTGGCCCCACCCATGTCAAGGAATCCGAAGGTTGATGAGGCTTGGGAGCCAGTACTTGGATGGCCCGGTCGATCGAATCCATCCATCAAATAGTTGACAGCCACCCATCCGAATGTGCCCTCTTCTTCCCCCGAAATGATCTGGATATGCTGGCTACACTGATTGATTCGAAACCGATAGTGCGTCTTGATGTAACTGCACACTTCTTCCAGAATCCCGTCCTGTTGTAATTGAGGTAGCAGTCTCATTCCTGCGGTTGCCAATAGATAGAATGGAGTCGTTGCGATTTGGTTGGCTGGGATGAGCTTGAGAGCATGGTCCAATAAGGGCTTCAGATATTGTCCCAAGTGATGCGGATGCGAGCCGAAGGATGAGATACCTAAGCGAAGAGAAAAAGGATGGTTGAAAGGTGAATAAGTCGATTACGAACAAAAAAAAATGAAAGAGTTTTTCTTCTTGCTGACCTGGTTCGACCTTGAGCTGCCAGTCGTTACCATCCTGAACTCCAGTTTCTATCCGAGGAAGGACCTTGGTCGATTGATGGCTGGTCAATCGATGGTTGAGTTGGGCCCGAGGAGACTTCCAGCTGTAGACTTGTATCCGAGTTCCCGAGCTACCAGCATCCAGTACGATCCCAAACTGCCTGTCGTTTAACCAATCCGAATGGGTTATCGTCCTTGTCGTTGTTCTTGCTGTTGTTGTTTGTGGTTCTTCCATGTTTTGGTTTTTGGGTTGAGCTCGAACTCGGCACTGGTGGTGCACATCGGTCACCAGGAGCCTTAAAGCGGAAAGAGTAAGAATACAGGGAACTCCTACTTCACCCTCATCAGATGACACGCTGATCACCTCACAGTGTTTCAGCTAGCTATGTCATCAAAAACACTGGGCCATTCTGAAGCAACTTCTCTCTCTCTCTCTCTCTATCCAAAACAAAGCATGGGGAAATCTCAGTTCTTGGTTCCTCTGTTGATCTTTCGCCAGTTTTGCTTTCGCTCATTTTGTCTTTCTTTATCTTTCACTAAGAAGTTTCCCTTCAATAGGCCGGTTCACGTCTGAAGTTCAAGGCAGTTTTTAGCACATTTGTAGATAAAATTTCATGAATTTTGTCAAATCTCATGAATCATCAGGTTTGGATGAATTTGAGATTTTTGACAAATTTGTAAAATTTTAATGATAAATGTCATTAAATTTGCCTCAAAGCTCAGACATGAACCGTCCTAATTCAATACATAGATGCGCTGAATGACTGTGCCAAGCGACAGATTTATTCAATACAGAGTGAAGAAGAAAAGGCTCAAAACCTAGGAGTAGGGTCTTATAGTTTTCAATCTCCAATTCTCAACACCAATCAATCTTTTCCAGGAGGACAAGGTACCATGGCACCTTATCTCTACAAAAGAATGATGGAAGGATCAAACAGAATGCGCAATTAGGGTGTCATTAATGTCCAATTGTCTATCACATCAACTTGACTTCCATGGAAAATCAGCTTGATTTGAATCTCACGTGAATCTCAAACTCTGTAGAGAAACATTGATTGATCTGAAATAATGTCACTTTAATTCAACTTCCATGATAATCTTAAAAACAAAAAAAGGAAAACAAGGAACGAGTTCTAGGAGTTGGATCATTAGTATACATACACATTAGCTTTTTAAAAATTGGGTGAATTAGTCATTTGGTATAATTTGGAGGGAAGCGTCTCCTTTTGTCTTTGGAGTCCGTCAACTCACAGTCTATAACAGAAAAGGAGAGGTAGAGTGAAAGAATGAATGCACTACTAGAGCTCGATTCCCGGCCAGAGTATAGAACGAAGGATTCTAGAGAGATACGGGATTTCGGGCGCCAACTGGGTCTTCTCAGTCTGCTCGATCCGTGCTCCAAGGATCTTGATCTTGAGCGCTTTGGCCTCCAAGGTTTCGCGCCGGACGTAGAATTCCTCGACGACCTCGTTCAGCTTGTCTCGGGTCTCCGGGCTCAGAGTCTCGAATGAGGTCCCCTTTAATCGCGAGTCTGCTCGCTCTAGTGGCCGATGAAATAGCCCATACAGTCTTTCGTCAAAGTTCGGGAACTCGCTCGATAGTACATTCTCCTTCGACACTTCTGTTTTCATCAGCAGCTCAATCCGTATGGGCATCGTCAACATCACATTAGAGTATGAAAACCAAATCCAACGTCAGCATTGATCAATTCCATCTTTTGTTTTCTGTTTTTATTTGGCTTGTTTTCTGGGTAGGTTCACTCACGGGGCACTCGGATTTCGTTCAAGAGTTGTTCCATTTCTGACTTCGGAAGCTGTCTAGTTGGACTAGCCAAGTTAGCCTCGGCGAAGGCTTTGATGATCTGTTTAGAGCCCGAAGGACTCTGGATGAGTTGTCTGATGGGATCCTGTTCGTAGACGTTCCAGGCTTCTGTTTCCCTGAATGAATTGGGTTTGAGGAAGGCATCTCGAGTGAGGTAGAAGGACTTGGCTTTTTGGTCGAGTTCAGAAAGAAAGAAGTGGGTCAATGATTCGGTGGCTTTGTACACCACTTCCATCTGCTGCGATTCCGGGGCTATGAAGTGTTGGACTAGGTCCTTGGCATGCTTGTCCAACAACAGTTTCTTGAATTCGGCTTCAGGTCCTAAGGCTTTCTTCAGTTCTTCTTTCGATACTTTCGCAGCCTCATCTAACTTCGCTCTGGTCGAAGCATCAATCACTCCTTTCTCATATAATTCCTCTATGAACGGAAGATTCACCGAGCTCTTTCCGAAGCTTTCTTTCTTGAGGTTTTCCATCGCGGCGCGCATCCGACTCAATTTCGCCTGTTTGAATTCTTTGAAATACGGATGGTTGACCAAGTTCTTGTGCCAGGTTTTCTGCTTGTTTTCTAACGCGTCTGGAATCCGTTCCTCAATTGCAGCCAACTTAGCCTTGAAAGTTCGACGAGTAGATGCTGCTTCCTTGAGCGCATCCAAGTCTTCCTTCGAGAGGAAAGTAGCGGGCCCAGACGGGTTATTGAGTACGTAGCGGATTTGGGCTGGAGAGTTCGGGACTTGCAGTAGCTTTTCGTATACTGCTTCGGGAGTCATTTCGACAGGAGAAAAGCGAGTAAACAGGCTTTCACGCCATACAAGATCCTCTTCTTCTGTACTTCTGAGAGTCGATTCAAAGACACTTTCAATGTCTTTCAGGGTTGGGAAGATATCAGCCAATCGGTCTTCAACCAGAGTCTTAACAAAATTGGTTACTTGAGGCCGAATGGCTTTCAGGATGTTTTCTAAACCCGTGACGACTATGAAGCGGTAAATTTCTTCAACCAAGTCGAGTTCCTTAGGCAAGGTTCGGATAACTTCTTCTACACTCGAAAAACCACCAAGGGGTATATGGATTGCTTCCGAAGGATCTCTCGTCATTTGGATGGCGCGTGCTTTTGCAAGAAGTTTATAATAACGATCTGTTCTCTGAGTATGCGCCATGTTGGGAAAATATCTCCTCAAGTCTGTGTGAGTCAGTTCCCATTTTGGGTGGAGTTTATTCCTTTCTGCTATTTCGTTCTTGATTCGTTCAGCCCGTTGCTTTCTAGTTTCGAACGGGGGTGGCGGGGGTGGAGGCTCTTCGTCGCCTCTAAACCTTGCCTTAGATTCGATGCGACCCATGATTCCTTGAAATTCTTGCGTGAACTTGGCGCGAAACTCATCATGATCAAAGTTGTCAAGGACATCGATAATCTCTTGCATAGCTTGGTGTTCGATTGTGTTGAGAGGTCGTAGATTGTCTAATGTATGTAGAGTGATAGAGGTCTGAATGTTTGTCCATTCGTCCTGGAGAGGCTTGAGCGAATTCACAATTTTCTGCTGCTTCATGACGTTTTCTAGATAGGTCTGATGGACCAAGAAGGACCTTTTGAACGCTTCCTGATACTCCGCAGTTCTTTTGTCGCCTGGAGGAGTCATCCTCCTTGCTATCAACTCCGCCAACGATTGAGGATCCCAAACCATGTCATCGTAAGGTCTCTTGAGTTTTTGGGCCATAGCCTGAGCTAGCAAAGCTCTGGAATCTCCTACGAAAACATGAATAAAAAAAAATTCATTAGAAATTCACGGAATACATAATGAATGGACAGTTGAAAATCAAAGCAAGTGAGATGACTTGCTGTATTCCTGAAACTGTGCTTCGCTTGGGGGACCAGATGGAATGAACTTGAGTGGAATGTGGGGTTAGCTTTGTCACATGATCACATCAGAGCGGTTGACACGGCATCTAAGGATTACTGACCACTTTGCCATCGAAGAAAATCGGCTCGAATTGACTGAATTCAGGTTACCCAAGGGGAAGTCAACGACGGCAAGCTTCTGGGGTAATGGGTGACAGAGATGATGTATCTAGCTTACCCTGGGCGAACTTTCGGCTGCCTTTGAAGCTTGGGAATCTGAAGTATTCATGATTTATGGAGAAAAAAAGTCAGGATGTGGGGCCCTTCGCTGCAGAAGATCGAAATGGGCCAAATCACCCACATTAGTTGGCTCTCTCGCTCGAGGTCGACCTTTCTTGAAAACCTGGTTGAACCATTTACGCTTCAAGAAAAACCCTTAAATTAGTTTGAATCTTACCAGGATTATAAGACACACTTATTAAATCAGTTTATTTGACTTACAAGTCGATCCTTCCAAGATCTTAACCAGAGCCTGGATAGGTAAACAACCGATTAGTTGAAATTCTAGACGCGGGTGGCCTGACCATAGTGCCTGCGGATTTGTTCCGGAAAACGGATCTATTAGTAGACAAAAAAAGAACGCTTACTTGACAGCCTTTCGAGTATCCGCACTAACAGAGCTAAGTTTTTGTGTGGCCTTCTTCAGCTATCAGAAATGTTATATGATAAGTTTCTTTGGTGTTAGCGAAGACAAAAGAGAAGGGCATGATGATATGTGAGAGTTTCAGAATCACATACAAAATCAGTCGAGCTGTGGTTTCCAAGAGTAATCAAAAAAGTGGGTGACTCAGTTTTCTTGCCCCTTTTTTTTTCTTTGCAGAAATTTGAAAGCAAAGGTTGCTCACTATTTCCTGAGGGCGCTTAAACGACCCTTTGATGATTTGCCGCTTGACTGTCCTTCAAGATTTGGTTTACCTGGTGTTGAAGGAGTTGAGGGGTGGCTGGCAGGAGAATGAGCAGGAGAAATTTCTGAATGCTCGTTGGTGGGAGAAAATTCACTTGATTCTTTCTCTATGTTCAATTTGGGTGGTTTTGAAGAAGAGGGGTCGTGGCTGGCAGGAGAATGAGCAGGAGAAATTTCTGAATGCTCGTTGGTGGGAGAAAATTCACTCGATTCTTTCTCTATGTTCAATTTGGGTGGTTTTGAAGAAGAGGGGTCGTGGCTGCCAGGAGAAATTTGTGAAAGCTCGTTGGAAGTTGGTTGTTTTTCTAGATTCGGTTTGGATGGACTTGAAGGATTAGTGGGGCTATGGCCGGCAAGAGAATTGTCATGAGAAGTTTCCGATGAAATATGCTGGTCGATGGGAGGCAGAAATTGGGTGGATTCTTTTTGTGAGTCTGAAGGAGTGTGGGGGTGATCGACGAGAGACGAATCGTGCTGCCCTTGGTGTTGTTGTTGTTTGTTGATGGGAGGTAGATTCTTTTGCTCGACAGGTTCATGATGCAGTGAAGAGAGCACGTCCGCTTGATGGACTGGAGAGTGTTCTTCAAGAGAGAGTAGCTGCTTGCTCGCTGAGGCTGTGGCCGCCGCTGTCTTGCTACTTTCTGCTATCGTTTGGGCATCCTTGAGTGCTGGTAAGAAACTCCGCTTGGTTAGATGTTGGAGATCAAGTGATTGAAGGAACGAAAGAGCGTGGAACAAGCTGATGATAGATATGATTAAGTTGAAGGAGCGCATGGATAAATCTGGGAGCTCTCACCGCCGGGGACATTCGGGATGGATGGGTTGAAACAAGTCCATGTTGGGTCTATCTATCTCTATGTATCCAGGAAGAAGTCTGATCTTTCCAGTGTCTCTTCTTGCCGGTTATGATCTGTTATGATCACATGTGCGCCGTGTTGCCATTGAGACCTGTTTAGAAGTCTGTACCATGATACCATCATCAGCATACAGCGGATTGGAAACACTTGGGACGAAGAGCTCATCGTCAACTTTCCCAGTTTCACGACCGGTATTGCAGGCTTCACAGATTTCGATTATGTATCGATGCGTCCAGTCAGAGCGGTCCGTCGCCGCGCCCGGGAGCTCGTGTTCCGGAAGTCATTCCAGCGGCACCCGGCGGTTCTTGCCCATCGGGAGACTGAAAAAAACTGTGTAAGAACGGCGTGCGCTGACCGGTTGACCGTATGTAACTAACAAGTCGGTATGTACCAGAGTGCAACCCAACCCAGCTCTTAAACACCCAGATTCCCTGTTGTCTGATCGAGTGAGTATTTTTTTTCAATTTTCCAAAGCTTGAGAATACATAACATGGCAAATAACGCCCGAGTGGAATTTGGATGATCGGAGACTCGGAGTTCAACTGACCGCGGAACAAAATCTGCCGAGCTGTCCACCCGACAGACCGGTCACCGACATGTGGTGGGGGGCTCCCGGACTCCGGAGTCACCCCTGTTCAGTGAAATCCTCCTCCACCAACATGTCACATCAAAGAAGCTAGTGACACTCGACTGCAAGGATAACTTGGGATAACTTTTGAGAGTCAACCAACTCCAAGAGCTTCGATCCGATACCCCGATCCGTTGAAAGGTGAGATCCAAATCCTATGGAATCGAGCGTCCATGTCTTGTGTCAATCACTTATCCTCTGGGCCAGCTTGTTTTGTAGGTTTTATTCAACCACACTATCGATCGGACTCCCGAATTCCAAGATCCTGGAAATACTGTTCTCTCGAGATGGATGCCTCCTCGTTAAGCTCGCAAGACTCGGCCCATTTGAACCGATTGATCGAGCAGAAACAGATGAAAGACTTCCTGAAATTGTACTCTTCGTTGGTCGAGAGATGCTTTAGTAGCTGTTGTCAAGACTTCACTTCTAGAGCTTTATCATCCAAAGAAGTCAGTCCATTCTTTGACCAACCTCGGCATCAATTCAAACTGCTCGCTAACTATTCTTTCTTTCTTACCCTGTTCTTTTTTTTCCAAAAAATTCACAGGAAAGTTGTGTAAACAATTGTGCGGATAAATTCTTGAAACATTCCGAACGAGTGGGCGCGCGGTTTTCGGAACACAATGCGGAGATGATGCAGAAACGAGCTTAACTGATCTCGAGACATATATACAACATGATAACTATTAATAATTGTATTGACAAGCCGTTGGAGTCCAGTTCTGCTTTCCGCCACGAATGTCGAGACGAGCGAAATGAGAACATCAGAGCACCTTTTTTTTATTACATTGATTGTCTCTGTCACAAACAATACACCAGCCTTGGTGTTATACGCTGCATTCGACGGTGATGGATGCACAGCTTATGTCATGCTATTAAAAGAGACCGAGAAAGGGCTTTAAAAATGTGTTGGAATCTATAGTGTCCCAGCTACTCTTTATATGCTCCAATCCAACGCAGATTTTGCACTTGCGCATTTTTTTTTTCTCAGAGCCGCGCGTTTGTCAAGGAACGAGTGGGGATCCCCGATCTCCGCAACCAGATTAACTGCCTCCAATAGCCAACTCTATTGTCCATTGCTCTCACTCTTCCGACTTCACCAAACACCACACATGCACTCTGTAGTCTGTTTTTTTGGTGGTTCTTTCAAAAGCAAAAGCACGATAAGCAATAAATGGGTAATTGGTTCTTTTGTTCAGTCTAGTTGATATCCAGAAGTGTAAGGATTAATGAAAAAAAAAAACACCAAACGATTCCTCTATCATTCTACTTGGAAAGAAAATATAATCAGGGGAGGGAGGGACTATGTCAATCAAACTTGGACAAGACCGACTGCGACCCGAATTAACAAAAGATTAACGAGAAAAACAAAGATCCTCTTGAGGAGTCAGTTCTATATATATCTAGGTCACAACTATGTACACAATAAAACGCAAGCTCTCTATAATAAGATCTGTCGAGATAAGTTCACTAAACATTCCGTATAAGTTTATGGGTGTATTCGATCTTCTTCTATCTTGGAAAATGATGAATGAATGGATGAATCAGTTGTAGTGAAATGGGAAACCGAAACCCCTTTTTTTGTCGCTCTAGTCTATGTTTTAATGAGGAAGTTGTGGATTGGGAAAGCGCCAAGTCATTCTTCCTGGATTGTTTTTGATTTCGTGAGTTTCAAGCCCTCGAGACGTCCCTGCAACAAGACCCGCCGAATCAATTGCCCCGCTTTCTAGAGATGATAACATAGATGAGAGAAGACACGAACCTTCCAAACAATTTCACCTTGACCCAATCCGTACACACCAGCACCCGATTTCTGAAGGAGAAGGCCATGGAGACATACGCGGATCTCCAGAAGAAGTAAGTAGCCACCCCGCCGGTGGCGATGTTTCCGTTGAAGAACGGCAGATCGGCGATTGCTTTGTCAGAGCCGATGTAGGCTAACGATCCTTGATGACTGTATTTGAACTCTTTCAAGTTGGTTCGGTTGATCGACTTCAAGGTCGCTCTATTTTTACAAAAAATGAAAACATTCTCATCAGCTTAATTTTTATTTTTACAGATATGCATATGAATGTGGTTTTTTTTTGGGGGGGGGAGGGGTAAGGAAACGTACTCTTGTTCTTCCAAGTTACCATTCTGTTTAGCCAGCACGAGTTGATTCTCGAGTTTCTCGCGTTTAGCCATCAGCCCGAAGCGTCTGGCGAGATATTGACCCTGTTGACTGGCCGCTTGGGCGGTCGGAGCATACGAGGTTGCTGTGCAATCGCCCAGGGCGTATATCCCGTCGGCCCCAAGGACCGACAGATCGTCATCAACGAGCAAGCCTCGTCTCTGGGTTTGGTGTTCCGGTAGAGCCGCCATTAGTTGTCGGGTCAGCTCCCGGGACGTGTTTCCAGTGGCCCAGACTAATAACCCATATGGAATCTGATGGTTTTGATTGATGGTGAAAGGGGGTTGAATGGAAATAGATTTGTGAATCGGTTTTGATCTATCCAGGGTTTTTCAACACATGACAGAGCCTTCGATGGGACTGACCTCCATGAGCTGCTTATTCTCATCCAAAGCAGTGATTGATTTGGGATGGACCTGCTTGACCATCGTTTTAGTCAAGACATTGATCCGATTAGACATGAAGGTCTGAGTGGTATAATCGATCAACTGTTTAGAGAACATGGGCAGGACGTTAGGCAAGGCTTCGATGAGGGTGATCTTGACTTTGCCGGCGATCTCGGGATACCATCTAGAGAGATCGTCGACCAAGAAGTCGTGCAACTCGGCCGCATATTCCACCCCGGTTGGCCCCCCACCCACGACGACCATGTGCAGTAATCGGTCCACCTCTGATGGGGATTGGTCTTTGAACGTCGCCGTCTCGATGCAATCCATCAACTTCTTTCGGATCTTCTCGGCATCGTTCAGCTCTTTCAAGAAACATCCATGCTCGCGCACCCCGGGGATCCCAAACGTATTGTTCTCGGCCCCAACCGCATAGATCAAGTAGTCGTATCCAATCTCCGTCTCCGTCACATCCCCTTTGATCTCCGACTCGTCCGTGAACCGTACCGTTTTTTTCTTCGGATCTACCTCCGTCGCCGTTGCTTCAAAACAATGCACCGCTCGTTGCTTGTGTCGGGTGATGAAGCGAGTGGGCTCGATCACCGATCGAGGCTCAATCGTCCCAACGGTCACAGAAGGTAAGAGAGGTGTAAAACAGAAATAATTCCGAGGACTGATGACCACCTGAATGCCCGGAAGAAAAAAAGAAGTGAAAAAAGCGCTTTGATTGCTTCTTAAACGAAAGGTCAACTTACGACGTTGAAGTGTTCAGTATCTAGGCCTTTGAGGAAACTAGAAGCGCCCCAGCCATTACCGAGGACGACGATAGTTTTCTTTTCGGGGTCATGGGGGAGTTGTTCGGGCGGATTACGTTCATCCCAGGCTCTCCAGACGACGTAGCCAGAAGCCGAGAGGACGAGGACGAGGACGGTCCTTGCAAAGTTACGAAGCCGGTGAGTGGGCCGTTTAACTTTGGGGGGAGGCGGGACGCTTGAAGGCTCCTCCGGATGGATCTTCGAACCGGGTAAAGGGGCTGTCTGTTGGGCGCTCGAGATATTCGATTGTTGGTGGTCGGCTCGGCCGAACGAGATCTGGTTTGGTTTGCTGGTCGATAGCCATCGATCGTGTCCTTCCGTCCTTACGATCCGGACACTCGTGCCGGCTGGACTGACTTGGAGCAGAGCTAGGCGCTGATGACCTGCGTAATAAAAGTCCCACCAAACCAAGCAAATATGCATGTATTTCTATCCGTCAGCATCACTGAAGCCTTTCACTCCTCCCCCCACGTCTAAATGTATGTATGTTTAAGTACATAACTCAAAAGATAGTATTACAACGTACTGAGATGCCTTCGGATCGATCGCAGCCCCAGTTGGGTAATCATTTCTGACTATTTATATCGCAGCTTCTGGTGGCCTCGCTGGCTTCCGATTTCTGGAGTGAAGTTTACCGGATGGCTGCTGGCCCGGTTAGCTGGATGATCTAGATATTCCAGTGGTGATCAGTTTCCTTCAACAAACAAGCTGAGTGTCCAGTCGACATACCAGAGTCTTCGTAGACCGGATGGGTTCTTGATATAATAATTAGTTGTCCCAGGCGGCAAGGGAGAGAGAGGGAAATAGTTTTGGGCTGCAAG